AGCAAGAGATTTTACAAGATTTCCAGTTATGAGAGTCAGGACTCTATTGTGTCTCTGAATCCTGTCGGGCTGTTTTGGTCCTTTTGTTTCTCTTCACACATTATGTGAACTAAACTGTTTTTGTCTTTCATTGTTTATCCTCGAGTGTTTAGACTTTAACAAAAAGTTGATCTTTGACTTGATGAGTTGGAAGTCAAATCAAGAATTTGAGTTATAGCGAAATACTGTCATTGTTTAGATAACTTGTTAATTCCTGGTATACATGTTTGTTTTCATATTAACCTCACATTCAGCTTGGTTGGAGGAGAATATGATCCAGTCGGGGTGTTTTGTGTTTTTTTCTCTAGTTTGGTAAAAGTAAACACAGTGGTGTGTTTGGCTGATCTCTGGCGTTTAGAGGCTCTACTTAGTGGCAACTGGTCACTGCCAAAACAAACAAACCTCTGTGTGTGTGTGTGTGTGTGTGCATGTGTGTGTGTGCGTGCGTATGTGTGTGCGTGTGTGTGTGTGTGTGTCCAAGATGCAATGGACTCTGTGCACACTCGTGAGTACAAGTGTGTTGCTGCTAAGTGCCACTGTGTGTCAGCCAAAACAAACAGGCTTAATGAGAAGCAGCTCCTGGGACAGAGAGAGAGAGAGAGAGAGAGAGAGAGAGAGAGAGAGAGAGAGAGAGAGAGACTCGGCCAGGCCAAACACACTGACCCAACTGTCTCTCCCACTTGGACTTAAAGGATACTCTGTTCCCCTCTGTCCTTCTCCTATAGCTCGACCATCAGCTCCATCAGCCTCACCCCTCTCACCCCTCAACACTCCTTCCTGTCCCCCGACTCTCACCCCTCCATTCACGCTGAGGTGTGAGGGTGACGAGGGTGAGAGGGGAAGAAGGGGGGGGGGTAGTACGAGGTGAGTGATGGCAATTAGAAGTACATTTGTAACTGTGTGTGGGAAACACAGGGCAGTTGTGTTGCAGCTTGTTGGTGGGTTCACTTGGCTCTGCACGAGTAAAAGACGTGAGTGAAATACAGAGAACGTGCCATAATGAGACGAGAAGAGATTTACTTAAACGTAAAATACTTAACTGACTACAGGACTGTACTGAATTACTTAAAGATCCACACAGATTTACAAGCTTTTAATGATTAGTCACACTAATTGGATGAAAAATATCGTACAAATCCCGGATAGTGACGCATTAATTCAATGCTAGTGTGTGCAAAAACTGGATTTTATTTGAAACTGTATAATCTTTAATGTTTAGAGAAGGAATGTGCGACTTTTTGATCCTGCAGATGTCGCCCTTGAGCACCAGCATGAAACCAAAACCAAACTGCTGTTTGCCGACACCTCCGCTATTCTGAAGCCTCCGCTGTCCTCCAGCGACACACCTCCAACCCCCCTCCACCCGCGTTCACACAAAGGAGTTATGAATTAGAACGCACCATAATTAAGCACCATTAAGACACCTCCAACCTATCAAGCTTAAAACTGTCCTTTGCTCTAGCTGCAATCGCCTGTGTCCTGCGTTGTTGTGTTAGCATGCTAATGTTAGCGCACTTTGTTTAACTCGTAGCTTCATTTTGCATGTAAGTTGACACAGAATGACCGTAATCTAAAAACGCTTAAGTGACATCAAATAATCAGTGAGTATGTTCTTCTCCTTTTCTCTAGTCCTTGACTAAAACAGCTTTATACACAAGGCTGTCTCGTCCATGTAAACGTGATGTAAACACGGCTCTGACAACAACACAGCCAGCAGGACTCGAGCTTCTCACTCATTGTAGACAGTCACGACTCAGAGAGACATTTACAGAAGATAAAATGTATTTCTGCTCTTTTTAATGATCAGATCTTTCAGCTCCCAAATGGCTCTTCATTTGGTACCATTTGACTCTTTTTAAATCAGCCACAGTTTGTATGTGAGAATGTATTTTACTTAAATTATTCATTGTTAATCAATTGTTATTTTGCATGATGTTTTGTACAAACCATTTATGTTATACCGGTGTGCCTGTGGCCCAGCAGTGAGGGGAAAAGATCATCCCTTCCTTCTGTTAGCAGCATAAAGGGGATAAAAAGCAAACCAGCTCTAATGCAGGAGCCGGCTTCAGTCCTTCACATCAGAGATCCGGCTTATAGAGCTCGACTTGTTCCTGGACAACGCATCACTAAGCTGTACCAGGCAGTCAGCTGTAACTATAAAAATGTGAAGCAGAGTGGTGCTAAGCCAACGTAAAATCTGAAATCTTTCCTGGCTTCAAAAAAAAACAAACCTCAAATACAAGCTGACAAGGTTCTGTGTGTGTGTGTGTGTGTGTGTGTGTGTGTGTGTGTGTGTGTGTGTGTGTGTGTGTGTGTGTGTGTGTGTGTGTGTGTGTGTGTGTGTGTGTGTGTGTGTGTGTGTGTGTGTGTACCGCATCCCTCACACTGACCCCTGCATGTCAGGTCATATCCTGCCCATCTCTCTTTTTTTCTTTTTTGATGGTTTCTGCTTTCTGTTTGCTTTGGCAGCTCCAGGTCTAATGGGGTTCAGGTGTGAAGAGTGTGTTTGCATGTTTGTGTGTCAGAGTGTGTGAGCATTCCTGAAAGCCTTTGTGTACGCGGTACAGTAAGTGTGTGTTTGTGTGCAATGTGTTTGTACGTCCAGTTATTTTGGGCGCAGTCACCATGGTCATTTATTTTTAGTCCTGAAAGAGTTTGTGTGTGTGTATGATTATGTGCACGTCTATGGGGATTTGTACACACCGTGCTTATGTGTGTGCATGGTGTGTTCTTTGGCAGCGGAGTGGCGAGCGGGGTTTGGAGGCTGCGGTGAGTTTGTGTGTACAGGGGTTGCTGGTGTGAAAGAGCAGTCAGAGCTCCTCTTCCCCCCGGAGAGAGTGAGTTTAATTTAGAGGAACAAGGCTCCTAACACACACTCGTGCTGCTGCCGTCTCCTCGGCCCGTCACTCCACGCCTCTTCCCTCCCCTCCACAGACCTCTCTGTCTCTCCCATTAAAACCAACCATCTCTGCATCTTCTCTTTCCTGTCTCCTCTGTCTCACACTTCTCCCCTCTGTGCAACGTCTGACATCAGGTGGCAAACAGAACAAACTTAGAGGCTGATATTTACAGGACAAAACACTTTTGCTACCTTCTTGGCCATTTTTTGGTGAATATGGAGAAGTTCTTTGTAAGTTTGATTGTTGATTGTTCTGCATGAACCTAAGAAATGCTCCTTTGGGACTTTTCACATGCTTTACCTGTAAACAAAATAGTATATGGCATTTGTGCTTAAAGGCTTTGTATGCGATTTTTCACACTTAAATATAATAGAAATCAAGAATATCCTCTGAAAATAACTCTGTGAGTCATGACTGTCTACAATGGGTGTAACACCCGAGTCCCACTGTCTGTGATGTTTTCAGAGTTTTCAGAGTCCTATCTTCACTTTGTTTACATCGCCTGGACGGCCGGCTGACTCCTCCCCTCGTGTATAAAAGTTGTTTAATTGAGGGACTAGAGAAAAGAAGAATAACATACTGTACTCACTGCTTAACTGTGTTTCTAGATCACGCTCATTTCAGGTAAATTTACATGCAGTGTGAAGATACCAGCATAATAAAGATCACTAGCATTAGCATGCTAACACAACAATGCACCGCAAGTTGTTTTGGTTTCATGCTGGTGCTCAAGGGCGACATCTGCTGGATCAAAAAAATGCCGGGCAGAGGAAGCTAGCGGGGCTAAACAAGGCATTCTTAACTAAGAGGAGTTTTCAGTCACATTTACTGTGTACGTTCATTAGCATAACTCCTCACTAGAAGAGGTAAGACTTGATGAAGTATTATAAATGTTTAGACACTTAAATGGATGAAAAAACGTCACCTTCACCCAAACCTATCTAAAACTGAGCGCCGTGCCATCCTCCCAACAGTCCCTCTATGCAACAACAGCTCAAAATCCAGTTTGGACCAACCAAACTCCTGCCAACAAAGTCTGCAAAGAACCTGGGTCCAAGCTAACCTTTCAGGTTCATGTGGCCTCGATTGCTCCGTCTTGCCCTGTGCAACGTCAGAAAGGTCAGACCCTTTACTTGGCACAGCATGCAACGTGATATCACACATTGACTACTGAATCTCCTTACTGGCAGGACTCCCTGAACCCACATCTTAACCTCTGCAGATGATCCAGTGTGCAGAGTGCATCTAGTCTTTAGCCGACCCAAATCAGAACTTCCCTCTGCTGTCTAAATCCCTCCTCTAGCTCACAGTTGTGGCTAGTCTCAAACTTCAAACACTCGCTCACAAAACAGCAACAACACCTAGTGTTTAAAATGGGTACTGCAGTCTGACTTTAAGACATTGAAGAGCGTTGCCCCCCCTCTGCTGCCCCCTCCATGTGCTCACAGGTGCGTCAGTATTTAACCAGCTCTGCATCGGTCTTGAAACCTTTCTGCCCTCAAATCCTCGCTTCATTTTTCAAAAGCTTCTCCAATATTTATTCTAGTTTCTGCTCGTGAAGCTTATTAGAAATATGCAGAGTCTTTTTAGGTCGGGTACAATCACTTCTATCTGAACCACTTCTCTTGCCCGCTTCCATCGCTGCAACACCTGTTGGTTTGCCGTTTGCCTGGCAAACTGAGGGGTGTCCAAAACGGCCGTGTGGGGAGCCTTAAAACCACCAACCTTCTCTGGTCAAAACAAATGCAGAGCATTCAGGAGCAGAATCTAAAGTTAGAAGGAGGACATACTGGCTGCTGCATTGTTGTCAGAGAAGCCAGCACTTCAACAGAGCATGTTTCCTTCATGTCTGATCATATAGTAAGGTCACTTTATCATTTAATGTTGTAGATATCTTAGATATCGGACTTTTAAATCGATTGTTGTGTATATAGGAGTCACATTAATGTTTATGTTCCTATCACTGATGTTACTGCACTTCAGTATTGAGTTAAAACATGTTAGACTGCACCATGAAGAAAATCAAATATGAGACAAAACAGAAAAAAAAAGTCCACAACATTTGGGGTGTTCAACTGTTTTCATTAATAACCAAAAACATATTTATTTTTTTTAGAAATGTTACATTTCAGTTGGATTTCCTGACCTAATGTAAGCCATATTAGAAATGAATTCAATCTGTTAAAAGTACTCAATCACAGTGATTACAAAACAGTCTCAGTAGTCACTTGGGCTACTTCGAAACATACTTCAAAAAGTTTAGAAGTCTGTGACTGAGAGACATGAACATTCACTGATTAGTAAGATTGAACATGTTAAAGTAAATTATCATGTTAAGGCATTTACAGTGTTATAGTCAGTAGTCACTAATGAGAGAGCAGAGATGGGATGATGTCATCATCCTCATGACGTGTGTGCATCCCTCTGCATGTCTCATCTCTCTCTGTGTCGCACACATCCCCGCCTCTCACCGCTGGGAGCTTACACCTGGCACTTTTCTGTCTCCTGGAATTTGAACTTAGTACTCGATGGTCACTGCCTTTGTCTTCAGGTATTCATTCAGAGCGTCTTGTCCTGCAGCAGAGACACAGACAGTGAATACTGTTATTAATAACCACAAACAAACACAAAAAGTTGTGTTCTTATAAATCAGAATAATACGAGACCCCTGTTTACTTTGTTCTCCATGTACAAGAATTTATCTATTCGCTGTCATTATTGGTTCTTTGTGTGTTTTATTTTGTTAAATTCAGTGTTTAGAATTCATTTCCTGTTTTATTTGTGTGAAAAAAGTGTGTCTGGTTGTGTGTCTCTATATGTCAGCCCTGTGATTGACTGGCATACAGTCCAGAGTGTAACCCCGCCTATCGCCCAATGACAGCTGGGATTGGCTCCAGCCCCCAGTGACCCCACATGGGTCACAAAGATAAACCAATCAGCCAGTGTCCTTAATCTGATATGAAATGTTCCACTCAAGTTAAATTAATGTTTAAAACGGTAACAGAAGCAGTTTTTCTCACCCAGGTCTTTGCCAAAACCCGACTGTTTGAAGCCTCCAAAAGGCGAGGCCACATCCGTCTTGTTGTAGGTGTTGACAAAAACGGTGCCGGCGTTGAGCTTTTCACTGACGTACAGCGCTTTGCTGATGTCCCGTGTGAAAACACCTGACGCCAGGCCGAACTCTGTGGCGTTGGCCCTCCTCAGCACGTCGTCCACCTCACTAAGACACAGAGACGATGGAGCAGGGAGGAACGGAGAAAGTTAAAAACAGATGAATTATTGTGGTGTGTAAAATCTGAGTCATTTAGAGGCATGAGGTTATTTTGAGAAAGCCTTACCCGCTCTTGAACTTGGACAAGATCATGATGGGGCCGAATGACTCCTCTTTGGCGATGAACATGTGGTCCTCCACATCGACGAACACGGTGGGCTCAAAGAAAAAACCTAGAGCAGACGTGTAACAAGTCAGATTGCGTCCGTATTATGAGAGGTTTATTACAGCATGGAGCTTCAGGTCAGATTCAGAAAGCCTTACCTGGTCGCTGCACCTGTTTGCCGCCACACACAAGAGTGGCCCCCTCCTTCACGCCGGCCTCACAGTACTCCACCAGCTTGTCAAGGTGGGCTTTGTGGTTCTGAGGGCCGTGGTCTGTCGAGCGGTCCAGAGGATCCCCGACCCTCATCTTCTTCACCTCCTCGACCTGAGAGGAAAGACGGCCCAAAATAAGACGAGCACAAGAAAAACAGAAATGCAAACTGTACAGGATTTAGTGGTTAAAAAAACTCCCGTACCACTTTTTTGACAAACTGGTCATGAATGTTTTCTTCCACAAACAGTCGGCCAGCTGCGATGCAGTTCTCTCCCTTGTTGAAGAACACTGAGCTCATGCCCTGAAAAACACAAACGCAGAAAACATGGTTTTGTCTCTGCAACTGTAACAAATTGTGAAGATCAATTCTAGACAAGATGCTCCGATGGATGAACCCACCATGCGCACGGCTTTGTCCATGTCACAGTCGCTGAAGATGATGAGAGGAGATTTCCCCCCGAGCTCCAGAGAGACTTTCTTAACGTTACTGACGGCACAGCTTCAGAAGGGACAAGAAACACAAGAGAACACGGAGATGAGCAGGAGAATTATGCTTGTGTTGGAGAAGCAGCGTTCAGTTTCTATGCTCCTGGAACAAACTCTCATAAAACTGCAGGTCTGCTGAAACTCTCAGCTCTTTTAAATCCAGGTTGGAGACTCACCTGTTTACAGCTGCCTTTAATTAAACAGCTTTAATAAGATTTCAAATTTTTACTCTGCACTGTAATTATTACTTTTTCACTTTTTTATTTTTTATTTTTTAATTAATTCAATTTTAATTATTTTATTTGAACATATTTTCAGATTTTATAATATTAGTGATTTTTAAATGTTCTATTTTAATGTTTCTTCTCTTTCCTCTGTCATGATGCTTTTGATGTCTTGTGTGAAGCACTTTGAATTGCCTTGTTGTTGAAATGTGCGACATAAATAAACTCGCCTTGCCTTGCCTTGTGTTCGGCTTTGACTTTAATGACTGTGCTTTAAGTCTCACCTCTTCATGATGTGTTTTCCAATTTCAGTGGAACCAGTGAAGCCCAGTTTGCGGACGTCGGGATGGTCAGATAGACGCTGACCCACCAGAGCACCTACAACAAAAGGCCAAGTTTAAGAACTCACACACAGTAAGCCCCATTCAGACTGCGGTATCGACGCCCCTGTGATGTTTCACCTTCAATCTGACGGACGGGGGATGAAGTGATCTCCCCTTCGTACCGTCTTTGGAGGTAGTAACAGAGGCGTTACAGATGCGAGACGGTTTCAGCAGGGGAGTGCAGTGCTGTGTGTGTGTATGTGGAGCTCCCTCTGTGCCGTGCTTTTGCACAACAGCAAAATGCAATTAATGGATAATGTTACACCGTCGCGCAGTCAATATGAATTTACAAAGATGTGATAACGGCCGAGCTTAGTTACCGCACTTTAGCGGGAAGAGAAAGAAGCCTGAAGAGGGTCTATAGTTATGATTCAATCTCAGTATTGTGATGTTTGATGAGGACACCAAAGGATGTCATGCTCTTGATTAGATAAATGGAAATGGAGCTTGTCCTCTGACCGAGATGCTGATTTGAAAGAGTCTGAAGACCTACCATGACATATAACAAAAAAACATGACAGGCGTGTGTTCCTACCTGATCCAGGCAGAATATTAACCACTCCTTTAGGAAGGCCCGCTCTCGCTGCCAACTCGGCAAACTTCATCGCGGTCAGAGGAGTCACCTGGAAACAAGTCACTTCCCTTTTTAGACAAACTAGCGACACAAATGGTAATGTCCATCTTAAATATCTCTGCATTGACGGCACTGCCATGTCATTAAAGTCTGACATGAACAGAACCCTGACAGCCAGTGTGGACGCTGACCTGAGCAGGTTTGAGGACCACTGTGTTTCCAGCGGCCAGGCAGGCGGCGGTCTTCCAGGCCAGCATCATAAGAGGGTAGTTCCAGGGAATCACAATGGCACAAACGCTAAGAAACCGAAAAAATGAGTCCTTTAAAATCAGCACTTTGAGGACATATTATCAAAAAATGCATCCTGTGCTGTCAACATAGATAACATGTACTCACCCTATTGGTTCCTTCTTGGTGAAGGTGAGGTTGCGATTGGGCCGCGCCTGGTTGATAGGGATGGTGCTGCCCTGCAAAAAAAGGCAAACATAAAGATTTTTGCAGAGTACCCATCTTCTGATATTTCATTTGATTTTGCCTCTTCTGATGTGCGACGCCGGCTCCCAGGTGTTAAAAGCTGACTCTCTTACTTGGATCTTGTCACACCAGCCGGCGAAGTAGCGGAAGGTCTGGATGGACATGCCCACATGAGTCTTGAGGGCCAGCGTGTAAACAGCTCCGGAGTCGATGGATTCGATGGTGGCCAGCTCCTCCTGGTGTTCCTCCATCAGGTCAGCCAGCCTGTGTGGGGGCGAGCAGGGCAGAAACAGGGTCACTGACATCCCAGCTCGTGGTTAAAAATGTGTTGTTATTTTACCCCGTTCCAAAGGATGATCAGTATTATGCAGGATCGATATATGCAGGTATGCAGGACTAATTGCAGGATTTAATGAATAAGAGATAGTATGGAACAATGAAACAGCTTCAATGTTGCCTTCATGCTTTGTCCTCATGCTCACAAACGAGACACTTACACCCACTTCTTTAAAACATATCATTAAAACTCATTTCAACAACCTCTTCTTAAGGCTCCAGAGTTGTACAACTGGACATGATACATAGGACTTATCCAAATTCTGACATTGGGGCGTAACATGCTGCAGGGAGTTTGTTGAAATACTGTAAAGAATGCCACTGAGCCATATTTATTTTTTCAATACAACATCTTGAGCCTTTCTGAAAATCCATACAGAGACTTCAGGGCAACTGGCAACTGTGAAGTTGTAAAGTGCCTGTGTTTGCCTACTTTTTCTATTCTTGCATTGCACATGATCTTAACTAGTGCCGTTGCCGTAGTTACAGCAGTCCTGCATCATATTTAATTCTCATTCACCTCGATGTTGTTAATAAATTTACCAATGACTGAAAACTTGGAGAGCATCTTTCATCAGTAACAGTGTGTGTTGCACTGAGCTAAAAGTTTCAGAGTTAAGTTTAGACAGAACGAGTGCACTGACTTGTGGATGAGTCTGCCTCTGTCTCTGGGGTTCATCTTCCCCCACTCTCCTTCTTCAAAAGCTTCCTTAGCAGCAGCCACAGCCTTGTCCACGTCACTGATCTGGGCCAGGGACACGTCGCAGATGGCCTGCAGGACAGACAGATAGATAGATACAGCTCATACAATCAACCCAAAACAGACAGAAGGCTGTTTCTCCAACTAGAAGCAAAAATAATCCCTGAGGGGAAGTTCAATTTTTTCACTCTGCTGCACACAAATAGGCCGAAATACACAGACGTCCACAAACATGACTCTATGGGCATGCACTAATGGAGATATGTTATAGTAAGGGGCTGCATATGAAAGAGCACCCGATGCAATTGGGGGGGGTTCAGTGCTGAAGTGCAACCCAGGAGTGGTCCTCAGGAAAGAACTGGCACCTCCTGCTACCAGACCAATTTCCAGACACAACAAGACTAGAACCGCCTGCCCTCCGGTTCCCAACTCAAGTCCCTGCAGACTGAGCCTCTGCCCCCCACAAATGGATACCTACTCTTTCAAAGTAAGGCGACTAATGATTGTGATTACTGTCTTTTTAATTCAACTTTCGACAGTAAAATCTACATGATATTAAACTGGCTGACTTGACATTTCATTACCTGCAAACCATTAACCTCTTATAAGGATGGAGATTTAAAGACGAGTTTAGAAGGGAAAAAATGACCCAGATAGAAATGATACTGTCATATTATTTTAGTCTTCATTCAGTATTTATTTTCAGCCTGTGCTCTCTTCCTCACCGTGCCGTCAGTGGGGTTGATGGTTTTGTAGGTCTTTCCTCCTTCTGCATCCACAAACTCTCCATTGATGAACAGCTGATGGGGCATCTTAACGGTCATGTTGTTGATGCTTTTCTCCACCTGAGTGGTTTCAAACACACTGGTCAGCATGTTGTCTTCCCTAAACGCCAAAAAAGTAAACAAATACCCGCCGACACAAAAAAAAACAGCTCCTACATAGTCAACAACCAGTTCCTCTTCACCGTCCTCTCCTCGGAGCTTTCTGACGCACATCTGGATGAAATCCTGGAACGTGGTGTTCATGTACACGTCCTCGTTCTGCAGCTGGCAGGTGCTGGCTCGGAGCTTCACCTCCTCCACAAGCCTGCAGGCGGCGACAGGAGGGAGAAGAGTATTACAAACAGGGAAGCAGCTAGAGAATTAATAGTTGGGATTTCTGACGTTTTCTAATGTGCTGACTGAATAAAGTAAAATGTTAACACCCTGTTTTACTCAAGTTATTTGCCAATATATTTATTTTAATTACCAAATAAAATATATTGGCATCAAAAAAGTTGAAACGGTTACATTCTTAAGCTATGCATGCAGCTCTCTGAGGGTGTACTTAGGTACTCTGTTTAGTAAATGTGGATATAGAGAGCTGTTTGTGCTGCAAAGATTTGAGAAATATGCAATATTGAGAAACAATGATCTTGAGAATACTTCAAGTTCACAACAGCTGCAGAAGAAAAAACAACAATTAACATTTCTCTTTCAAGCCCTCGCACTACAGCAACCAGAAGTCATTGCAATTTTTTACTTTACTAATAATACTTCTAGTTGCACAAGAAATATATTGTGTAACAATCAACTTGCATGAGATACGTGCATGTAAGAATCGGTTGATTGACTTTCTAACTTCTGTTTTTTTTCTTTTTTGTCAGCATATAGTGTCAAAGCTCTGTCATTGTTTTCTTGCAGTTATGGTAATTATTTTTATTTTTTTAATCTTTTCAGTTTGATTCAGTTTCTAATAGGAAAGTCTCCAAATCGCCATGATACCAGATAATTCAGCTAACTTCTTATTGAGGAGGGAAATGTATCGTCCACACTGTTTTAATCACCTGACAACATCCATGGAAGCAGCACCAGACTTGAAGAAATCCGTGGAGTCTTCAATCGTACTGACGTTTGACAGAATACTCTGCCAGACTGCCTGTGAGGACAGGAAGTGAGAAACATCAGCATAGACAGTCAAACATCATTCAGCATGGAACAACTTTTCAGTAAAATGTTACTCCAGAGGCCCTACCCTCATCTGTTCAGCAAAGGTTTTCTCCTCCTCTGTGAGCTCCACAGCAGCGCTGCTTCCTGCACTGAAGTACTGTGCTGCAGCAATCATCTTCCCATCCTCGAACTGCAGATTCTTCACCATCAGCTGCAGAGAGAGAGAATGAAAATGTTTAAACAAAGAATCGAAAAGGAACAATACATTTCACAAACCCCAGAACAACTTTGTAAAAAAGGCTTAAGCAGTAGTGTGGTAATCGTGTCACATTCAGTCAGCAAAAGCTATAAAAAAAGAGCTTCGTTATAATTATCACATAAATACATAATTATAGAGATTCATATATGTATTAATTTCAAAAGTCATTTGTACCCAATATGTAGGTACGACAGAGGATTAGGGCCATGTTAAAAAAATTAATAATAATTTTGAAATTAACTTCTTATATTGTATTTCTTTTTTTTAATTAAAAAAAAAAAAGTCGTACATTTACGAGATTAAAGTCGTAAATTTACGAGATTAAATTTGGAAATTTACGACTTTAATATCGAAGGAAAAAAAAAGAAATCTAATATAAGAAATAATAAAAAGAAAATTAACATGGCCTTAATCCTCCGTCCTATGTAGGCCTAAAAAATGCATAAAAGAACAATAAATAAGCCTAAATATATTTTTATTTTATAATTTAAAAAAAAGAGAACAATAAAAATGATTATGTTTGATGTCCACGAACAGGTTTATAACTTAATAATTGTAACTGAAACTGCAGCAGGTTCTTCAGACAAGCACTTTATTAGATGCAGGTATTGTTTTAATGGCAGTCCTGTTTAGATTCTACAGACCCTGTAGTGACTATCTGATGTCCACATTTATTATATTGCCTTTAGTCACTTGCATAGGTGTATGGAAGGTTGTTGACGCGTAAAAAATAAACAAATATCCGAAATTAAAGTACTTTCTGATGTTCCAGTTTATTGTCACATATGAAGCAGACAACCCGTGATGATGATATGATGAGTTGTTATTTCCGAGATTATACTGTTGTCGTACTTTTCTTATCTTAAATAGCCTACTTGCGTTGTCCTGTGTTACGTATGTTCCCACCACCTATGCCCCCGTTTCAACCAACCACCTGACCAATTAACCCAAATGATCAATTATCACCACCTAGTGTCCAAATTGAGTACATAAATAAACATATAAATTAGCAATAAATTCACTTCACACTGCTACCTTTTCTCACAAAACCACACTGCTGCTTCTAATGGTAATGTCTTCTTACCCCTCTAATATCTTGATTGCATATGTCACCATGTGCATCTACCTCTCATGACTTTGTGTTGGTTTGCTGTGGCTTTGCGGGAGGGACACGTGGGCGGGTGGGTGTTTGAGAGCCTTTATGTTTAATGTGTGTATTTTGTGCTTGACTGTCTGTATCACACTGTTACTGTTGTATTTTTGATTTTGTGTTGGACCCCCCCGCCCCCCTGAGATGGTTCATCTCAAGGGGCAATCCATCAAATAAACAGAATTTCCTCACCATATAAACAAATACAATACAGAAACACACACACACACACACACACTAAATTGGCTCCTACAGACCCATTATTTACAGTCTAAGGTCCAGGACCAGCTCCAGACCTGCATTTGTTACAGAGCAGCAATACGACGTCCAGTCCATAAGGTGGCGGTATGTGTCTTGATACATATTTTTCCCTGACAAAGGCTGAGAGATATCAGATACACCTCACAGACAGATACACACAGAGACTCTGCTGCTGCTGCTGCTGCTGCATGATGGCCAACACGACGCTTCAGTCATTCAACGTCTTCCTGACGGAGAGATTAACCGCAGCAGCTGTAGACATCTACGGCTTCGTAGAGAAGACAATCATAGACTACCAGGACGAGGTGTACCCGAACAAAACTGGAGAACCAGAGGTTGCAGCGGCTTCTGGATTTGGTCTACAAACCGGAGATAAGGCTGCACAGGGCAGGTATGTTTGTCGACACACTGACAGCACCTTAAACACGGTCAGTCATCTAACACGCTCATAAAGTAGGACCATAAACACCGTGTGCAGTCAGCTCAGGCCTGCTGTTTGTGTGTGCATTGCAATGTTGGACGTTAGCATGTCAGGATAGCAGCTATTTCAGAGCTAATGATGGAAACGTGACATGTGAACGCTTCCTACACATCCGGGGAGTTTCCAAAATAAAACTATGAATTATTTATTCTGTTACAGTCGTTAGTTGTGTTCTTTGCTGCAAAGTAAAATACGAGTATATAGTGCTGGTCATTTTGCCACAGTGTTGCATAAATTAACCTTCCAATACAGATGTTGTAAACAGTGCAAAAAAGTGACCAAGTAACCTGATTGGACAAGAGGCCAATCAATGGGGACTTTTCACAATATAAATATCACTCCGCATCAGACATTTCAATTAAAACTGTCAATTAACATCACAGCAAACAGTCTTATACCTCAGAGTCTTATTCCACTGGTTTCCTGATAAATTAAAATATAAATAGATAGTAGTCGGTGTGTCTAAACGACAGTAGTAAAAGGAAGATGTTTAGGTTGCTTGGCAACAATCCAGTTTCTGTAAAAAATGTGGATCTAGTTGATTGGGCAAAATGTTCCTGTCATTACTTTTACTATTCAGCGTGTGTTTAACTGATGTGTAAAGGAGTTAGGGCTGGGCGATATATCGAGTTTTTAAGATATATTGATATTTTCAATCCAGATATAGGTTAGGACAATATCGTTAATATCGAAATAGTTTCATGTTGCATTAAAATAATGTTATACGTTTCTTCTGTAGAGCTGCCAGTTCACCTATTTTCATCTCACTGTTTCTCCCTCTTCACCTGCTCCTCTCTCTCTCTCTCTCTTCCCTCTTCATGCTCCTCTTCCTCTCTCTCTCTCTTCCCCTCTTCACCCTGCTCCTCTCTCTCTCTCTCTCTCTCTTCACCTGCTCTCTCTCTCTCCCTCTTCACCCTGCTCCTCTCTCTTTCTCTCTCTCCCTCTCACCCTGCTCCTCTCTCTTCTCTCTCTCCTCTCTTCACCTCTCTCTCTCCTCTCCTCTTCACCCTGCTCCTCTCTCTCTCTCTCTCTTCACTGCTCCTCTCTCTCTCTCCCTCTTCACCCTGCTCCTCTCTCTCTCTCTCTCCCTCTTCACCCTGCTCCTCTCTCTCTCTCTCTCCCTCTCTCTCTCTCTCTCTCCCTCTTCACCCTGCTCCTCTCTCTTTCTCTCTCTCTCTCTTCACCCAGCTCCTCTCTCTCTCTCTCACCCTGCTCCTCTCTCTCTCTCTCTCCCTCTTCACCCTGCTCCTCTCTCTCTCTCTCTCCCTCTTCACCCTGCTCCTCTCTCTCTCTCTCTATCCCTCTTCACCCTGCTCCTCTCTCTCTCTATCCCTCTTCACCCTGCTCTCTCTCTCTCTCTCTCTATCCCTCTTCACCCTGCTCTCTCTCTCTCTCTCTCCCTCTCACCCTGCTCCCTCTCTCTCTCTCCTCTCTTCTTCCTCTTCACCCTGCTCCTCTCTCTCTCTCTCTCCCTCTCACCTGCTCCTCTCTCTCTTCTCTCACCCTGCTCCTCTCTCTCTCTCTCTCTTCACCCTGCTCTCCCTCTCTCTCTCTCTTCTCTTCACCCTGCTCCTCTCTCTCTTCTCTCTATCCCTCTCTCTCTCTCTCTCTCTCTCTCCTCTCACCCTCTCTCCCTCTCTCTTCTGCTCTCTCTCTCTCTCTCTTCACCCTGCTCCTCTCTCTCACCCTCTCCTCTCTCTCTCTCTCTCTCTCTCTCTCTCTCTCTCTTTGAGCCAAACTCAACAAACTAAATGGATAACAAAACACAGAATTGTGTTTATTTTGTTATGCAGAAAATTAATTAATTTCACAAACAGGTATTTTGTTTTCATGTACATGTTGAACTTGTGCAACTGACTGTTAATGAAAGACATATCGATATATATCAAGTATCGCCATTCAGTGAAAAAATATCAAGATATGAGTTTTGGTCCATATCGCCCAGCCTTAAAAGGAGTATCACTCTCGGGGTCATGATGTTGTACTGAATATCAACACTGCTGAGACTGGGCTGTAAAGGCCCTGCCAACTGCAGCATTGTTCCTGTGACTTTATCAAAGCAGTGCGGATATTCAGTATAACGAGACCTCTCGTGTGATAGTGCTTCATTATATGATAAATGTATACAGCTTGTAAAACATATGGTCCATTGTATTGTTATAGTGTGCTTGAAGGATACATCAGTACACTTGGCATCCATACCATCCACATCACAATACCATAATTCATTATTTAAATCAACTTTTATAATTTCAAATGTTGTATCCCAAAGTTTCAGTTTGAGTGATTGGGGTCATTTCTGATCTCATTTTTTAATCAACCAACAATTGTATGCAAATGACAGTTATATCTAAGTTTTAAGGTATGTTCATTTGTTTTCATGTCCATCAATGTTTTCATGTATTTTTTAATTTCACATTTGAAAGGAGGTGAAAAACAACCCTCTGAACAAAACCAGTAACCAAGGGTTCATTTCCCCTCGATGAACTTGAGTCACCGACACAAGTAGAAAATAAAATAGCTTTAAAAGGAAGATGTTGATCCAATCGTAAAAAAAAAGGATGCAAACCACATGAATGACCTGCACAAAGAACCTTCATAGTGAAAGCTCTCATTATGATTTGCATTTTTTTAAATAGTGAGCATTTCTTCAGTCACTATGTTGAAGTGAAGTCCCATACAGCAGCTGTATCACGGATGAATAATAACTAATAACAGTTCTAACTAGGGCCCGACCGATACTGATATTTATATTAGGGAGAGAAAAAATCTGATACTGATATATCGGCCAATATCTTTCTTAGATCTGCATTCAATCTGTAGAGATAGATAGAAATAAACATTTATTGTGTTGATCCCTCAAATGAGGTTATCACACACTGGACGTACTAATATCGACCGATATTATCGGCGGTCAGATTAATCGGTCGGGCTCTAGTTCTAACCTGTAATCTTGTATTCCCCGGTTTTATTTTGACACGGACTAAATGTGGTGTTTGACCCAACACCTCCCTTTCATTGTCTTTAAGTGTCACACCGATAGCACTATGGGCAATATGGGGAAAGTCAAATCATGGACTTGAAGGGTTGAAACAAAGCGACATGTATCGTAACAGACCTCAGACAAATTCTATATATCCGCCATCTTGTTTCACTTTTTAAACATAAAGCATGGTAAAGCAGCACTTTACATCCATTTAACTCACAGGATGATAAATGAAACCACACGAGAGGCTAATGTTTATGTCATACTGGAGTCAGCACAAATAGCTGTGACGTCATCCTCATGAGGTCATTTATTACAGCTGTGGAGGTCACATTTTCCAGAGAAGCGACTCTTAACATTTCATAAAAGCTAATAAGGATACCTCACATCAACATGAAACATCCTCTAAATCAACTGAACCTAAACTTCAACGAGTAAGCTTTTGTATTCTTAATGCACATTATAAAATCTTTCCCCTTTCTGTCATCTTTCCTTACGACACAACTCGTGCAGTCTGGCCTGGCTATCCTGTCCTGGAAAGACAAGCTGTCACATAATTAATTCCAAAAGAAAGGAAAAGGTATCAACCAAAGGCTCAGTTTTGATCTTATTGCATGTTAACATGAACGTACGCAGAATTCAAACTTTCCTACAATGAAATGCACAACTCTACTCGGGTGCTATGGTCTGATTATTGTTCTTTATTAAATTTCTGCACCGATAACATGCAGGCTAATGAATACCTGACCCATCTGTGCATTGTTGAGGCCAGAGATCGGATGGAAAATGTTACTTCATGATTTTTTTTTTTTTGCTTCCATAATCACTAAAAAGTCTTAGAATAGTGTTAAAACAGAACATTTTATCAAGGTGTATTACTGAGTGATTTCAGCGAGCTTCCTTAATAGTGAAAGTACGGTCCATCATAATGCATCACATGCATGCTATGCACTATGTATCCAACGTTTGGTGCGTTTAATTCACTGTTTGTTAGAGGCTCTGCTCACTACGTAAAGGCTCTGCTCACTGTTTCCAAGCCGTTACTTGCCTTGGATTTCTCTGCTGCTGTTAAGACAAGCATCACGTCTGGGGATCAATCATGTTTCCCACACTTCTAGTTCATGTATGATCAAAGAGGTTTTTTTTTTTTTTTTTTTTTCCTTCCGAGCTGCTACCAAAAACATTTTCCTATCCACTGTTACAGATGCAAGCCCGAATGATTTTCCCACACCGACACAGGAGGTTTGTGCTCAGGAGCAGCAGACGCAGAGGGAATGTGTTCCCAGTGAGGAGCCCTTGAAAGAGGAGCAGACTGAATCCTGGACCAGGTCGGGGGGGTCACCCGGATGTCCTGCATACGGCAGCGTAACCGGCCCGATGACTCAAATGGTCAGAGTCGGGGAGCGGGAGGAAAACCAGATGCGAGACACCCTGAGTCAAGCTGCGACAGCTGGAGAGCACAGTGGATTCCCCGAGCCAGACAACCTCATCCGAGTCGTAACCGTGGGAGATCAGTTCGAGTACGAGAACCAATCGCAAGAGGAGCAACCCTTACCGTCCTATCGAGTGTTCACGGCGTACACAAGGAAGGCGAACATGTTTTTTTGCAACATCTGCGGTAAGCCTTTTGGGAAAAAAGAAAAGCTGAAGCTGCACATCGCAGCTCATTCTGCGAAACGTTTTCCCGAGTCCGGCAACCGGACGTTCACCTGCTCCCTCTGCGGCAAGGTAACATACACCAAATATCACATGCTCACCCACATGAAGTCACACAACAACGAGAAACCGTACCCCTGTCCGATCTGCGGCAACAAATACAAGCTGAAGAGCCACGTGAAGGAACATATACGGACTCACACGGGGGAGAGGCCTTACACCTGCTACACCTGCGGGCAAAGCTTCAACAGGTCGTCCACGCTGAGCAAGCACGCCAGGAGCAAGCACAGCGAGAACAAGCCCTTCAAGTGCGTGCAGTGCGAGCTGAGCTTCCCTCTGTACATCGTGTTGAAGCAACACATGAGGACGGTGCATGGTTACATGTTCCCTGTGGGAGACGACCAGCCCCCGGTGCAATGCTGAATACTGCTGAGGCTCAGAGGTTACAGACCTCTTCATTTTAAATAAACACATCTGTTCTAATGCTCTTTAATGATTGTACACTGTAATTGGAGTTGTAGATAAGATTGCCTTTTTAAAAGTAGCACTTAACGTCTTTTTTTTTTTTTTACACTCTTATGATGACCTCTAATGAGATTGCTTAACGACTTCCTGATTCTGACAAAGTGTTTATAGTAAATACAATACATGTCATTATAATATATTGCTTTGCACTGTTGTTCGACATCTCTGATTAGCTGCACTTCTTTTATGTCTGCCTTAAATCACACGTGGCTTTGTTCTTTTAGTAGCTCCTTTAAAAAATGTTTGTCTGTGTTGTACTGTTTGAAAAATGCAGTGTCAATAAAAACAGTACATGGACATACTGCTCGACTTTTTTTTCATGGTGTGACTTAAGTGGATTTAAAGTGCTGGTGCTGGATTATTGAGAAGGATACCTTACTAATGTACTTTTGAACATTGAGAGATTCAAACAATAGATGGTGACTTTATCAAACATTCGTGATAGGAGCCTAAATTGTAGCATCGAAGCTAATAGTAACAGTAGATTACACTTTGGTATGGCAGATATTTTACTTTTGTCCCCCCCCCTTTTCCCTTCAAGGTTTGGTGCCCCCTGGAGACCACTGAGGGGTCAGGACCCCTGCTTAAAAAAACTACATTATGCATCAGATTGAAATGTTTTTATTGACTCAATCGTGAAAATATCAAAGTTAGTTTCTATTTGCTAGGAAGGAATATCTAAAAAAAAAAAGTCCATTAGTATCTCCAGAGACGTCCAGTGTGACACGTGTCCTACAGAGAGGTCTATGGACTCTCTTTTAATCGAGGTTCAAGGCAACAAAAGAAAATAAATATCTGGGCTGTGCAATTAAGGCTAGCTGCTCAAAGCTATTAAACAATACAACTGAGTGTCTGACCCAACTGCTGCAAAATGCATTGTGGGTAATGAAGTAAGGTCTTCACAATACCAGACGTTTAAACTTGGATACAACCCTATAAAATCAGACGATGTTGATACCTGTTTAGTGTTTTTATACCACGGCAACAAAATCAGAATTGTAAGGCACCCAATATTAGATTTTAACAATATGTGCAAGCAAGGTCCTGAACACGCTTTTACTATGAACATGCTCTCTTACTTTGGGGTCAAAACTAATACCGAGTAAGTGTTCATTTTTTTTTTTTTTTTAGCTTTAGTGCTTTTCAGTGCTGTTGATAATTTAAATTAAATACTGTATATTGTAGCGATTACAAACAAGTGATATTAAAAAAAGTATCAAATTAGGCCTATTGAATATTTTGACAACTATTTTATTTTTATTTTTATTTTTTGGGGCTTTTTGTGCCTTATTGTAGAGAGAGGACAGTGGGTAGAGTCTGAAATCAAAGAGAGAGAGATAGGATCTGCTGCCTGCTTGAAGGACTATAGCCTCAGTACATGGGACATGCGCACAAACAACTACGCTACCAGCACCCTGATTTTGACAACCTTATAGTGAATGCAAAAGGTTTTGACGAGGGAGAAGATTGTGAGCGATATATTTAAATTGATTGCCCTTTGAGATGCAGATCTAATTTTAAAGGGATCCTAAGAGTATATAATACATAAAAACATGTGGTTTTGATGGTTTCAGTTTATTTAAGATAAATTCAATAAAGTTTCAGAATCATGAAAAATGAAACCACGCCCACTGGCAGGAAAGTCGGCCTCTCTCAATTGTAAAAACAGCAATTCAGGTTCTTAAAATTCTGGCCTCCATTGAGGATAGAAAAACAGAAACGGATAGGTCACATATCCTCCTCCTCTTCAAGCAGTTTAAATAAGTCTCAGAGCTCCCCAAAACATGTCTGTGAAGTTTCTTGTTCTAAATCCACTCTGATCCTATATTTGATCATGTCTATAAACCCCTCTAATTTCAGCCCTGCTCAGAACAGGCTGTTTCTGTGTCTGTATCTTTAAATATGTAAATGAGCTGTGTCTGACAGCCCTCTCTGGAAGGGCTTGGGTGTACTCGGTGCTTTCTCGCTCCGTGTCCTATTGTTTACGGTGAGAAGGCAGACTCAGAGGGCAGAACAAACACCTAGCTGTGGGAGTGTCACCCACCTGGGGGAGGGGTTACTGCCCTTTGTGATGTCATGAAGGGAAAATCTCCAAACGGCCTGTTTGAAACACATTTTCTGAAAAGTGGAGCAGGCAAAAGATGGAGAGGATGGACTTTTCTCATAATCGTGGGGTTTGTAGACAGACTAGAGACACAGTAGTGTTAGCAAAACCATTATCAGTGCACCTATTAGTTCTTTTCACATGTTTACAGGAACTTTTTTCAACATGTATTGTGTTTAGAGACCAATTTTAGATTTTCTTTACACATACTTTAAGGCTGATGTGGTTTTGAGGCGGCAAACAGTAAAATTACTGATTAGTGTGAATCAATATTTTGGTGCTGAGTACTTCATCATCGACATGCGAGAGTCTTACATTTCTGTTTCTATCCTCGCAGATGCCAAACAGCCAACTGAACCTACGCCCACAGAGGACATCCTCCCTAAAAAACAGGAGTGGAGCCCCGGTGTGTGCCATTACGAGGCGGGACCCTCCCAGGTGAAGGACGAGCCCGAACAGCAAAAGGAGGAGCTCTGGATCAACGGTCACGAGGAACAACCTTCAGCAGAGGACAGCGATGACGGCGACTCTTTGACAAAGGAGCTCATCAAAACGGTGCAGCAGTTAGAGGATTGCAGAGCAGCAGAGGAGAGCAGGGAGCAAGAGCAAACCCCGGACCCCGAGGAGGAGGAGGAGGAGGAGGAGCCGGAGCACTCAGAAGAGAAGACCAGCACCACCTTCTACCGCTGCCACATATGCAACTACATATTCACCAAAAAAACTGTGCTTACATGGCACCTCAAGACGCACGAGAGCAAGTCACAAAACAGCAAGACGAACTTTGACTGTCACATATGTGGCAAGCACATCCCCTGTCAGAGCAACCTGCAGAACCACATGAGAGTCCACACAGGAGAGAGACCCTACAGCTGCCATTTCTGCGGGAAGTGTTTCAAACTGAAAGGACACATGACGGAACATATAAGAACCCACACGGGGGAGAAACCGTTCAGCTGTCACATCTGCGACAAGTCTTTCAACAGAGGATCCACCCTGAGGAAACACGTGTTAGCCAAGCATAAGGAGGAGAGGCCGTACAAGTGCGGGGACTGTGACGAGTTGTTCACCGAAAGGTTGCTGATGAAGAGACACATGAGGAAAGTTCACGGCATCAAACTGTCCACAAATCAAAGTCCTGCCTGAAACGTTCATTACTAATGCACGATGCAAAATGTTCCACAACACATGAAAGATAGGTTAAGGTATCTTGTGAAATGTTTTGAATATTTTTGGAACCAATACCAGAAAAAAGCATTGCTCTGAGAATGTACTAATTTGCATAAGCCCTTTCACACATGCACTCCTGAAAATGTCTTGAAAATATCAACACAGCTTGCCCCTTAAATCTTCCTGAGTTGCTCTTTCACACACGTGCCTCAGAGCGGGAGACGTTTGCTGTATGATGGGGGGGGGGGGGGGTCTCGGAGGGCAAGACATGATGTGAAACAGACTAAAGGATAATCACCCCCACTCAGTCGTAGTTAATTCTGCTGAATATTTCCTCCTGCGTTCTCACATCTCACCCGACTTTTTACAGAAACTCTGCTTTGGGGGCTGGTTTGGAAAAATCAGGATAAAATTGGGGATAGCTGCAGTTTGCGTTTACACATGCAGCTCGTGCCAAAAAAATTGTGGACCTTTTCAGGGGGTTTGTGCATGTATGAAAAGGGTCTTATACTACAAAATGTCCTTCTTCATGAGGTCAAAGTTTTAACAGTTCTTTCATTTCAGGACTTTGCACAAAGCCAGGCTGACTGATCACCAATGCTTGCAGTCTGTTTTCTAAGTCCCCGTGTCCACCTAGTTGTTTTTTTTTTTTGAGCGCCAGAGTCCTTTTGTTCAATTGTTTTTCAATTAGTAGGCGGCTGCCTGGAGAAAAAGAGCAGTGCACAGCGTCTTTTTTCCAAATGTTCTAAATTTTTTGTGCAGCTGCTCCGAGCGCTCAAGTTGGAAATCTTTTAACTTTTCAGAAAGGCGCTGTTGACATCTCCGGCGGCCTCTTATCAAAATATATGATATTCCCTGTAGTTTTTTTCCGCCTATGGATCGTGTCCTGTACTCACATCCTCTTTGCTCCGAGTCTGATCAGGTAAAAATGATCATACAGCTGCCGTTGTCAACAGACTGTTGTCATAGTGACAGGATGGATGTGCAGCACTTTCCTTCTCAGCACACAAACGCTTCATGCAAACACCCCCGAGCACACAGCCAACGCATTTCTGCCCGGAAAAAAAACCCGCAATGTCAATCCCTTCTTCACTGATCAACAGTGTTCAGAGCGTTGTGTCGGAGCAGCTGCGTGCTGGAGGATTGAGAGCACTGCCTGTCTCAAATCATGGGACCACTTTCTACACTTTAGATGTGCTGGATAGTTGTTCTTTTACTCTCATTCCCTCCGTGTTGGAAACCTCTGTTCAATATAAACATGAAGCACCAAGATTTCCCTCTTCAGCTTGAGAAACAAAACCTTGTTAGAGATGAAAGTCGTGTCTACGTAAAGTCAGTGACTGTCAGTCCGTCCACTTCAATCAGCTTGAAAACACTTTCTAATTGAATTATCGAGCACCATATACCATGTAAAAATGTGGTACTTTGTTTGACTTGTTATATCTATGTTAGACTATGAAATGATTTTATACATTTATATATATATGATATATGTACTCTATACATACCTCAGTTGTACTTCTCTTCTTTTTCCAACGTTCAGTGTTATGATATTATTGTAAAGCAGCTATGTGAACATGAAAATATATATAAAGTAAAAAACACATCATCACTGTGTGAAACATATTTATTTATCATGTAGTGGTGCAAGAAGTGCTAAAGTTGTTGGTGTACAAACTTCAAGGTCACATATTATCCTCCTTTATAACAAGTTTAAATACTTCCCAGAGCTCTCTTAAATATGTCTGTGAAGTGTCTTGTTCTAAATCCACTCTGATCCTGTATTTGATCATGTCTATAAACCCCTCTTTTTCAGCCCTGCTCAGAACAGGCTGTTTCTGTGTCTGTACCTTTAAATATGTAAATGAGCTGTGCCTGACCACGCCCCCTCTCTGGAAGGGCTTGGGTGTACTCGGCCTTTCTCGCTCCATGCCCTATTGTTTACAGGGGGAGACACTCCCCCTCGTGGGAGTGTCACCCACCTGGGGGAGTTACTGCCCTTTGTGATGTCATGAAGGGAAAATCTCCAAACGGCCTGTTTGAAAACACATTTTCTGAAAAGTGGACTTTTCTCATAATTGGGGGGTTTGTAGACAGACTTGCACATGTTGGAGTTAGAGAAACATGGTGAAGTGTATTTTGCACAATATGTGACCTTTAAGTTTGAGACTTATTTAAGAGTGTCTGTCGCCTGTAGAGAAATAGAACTGAAGTCTCTGAGGTCATTTATTATTAATCTGTGTCTTCCCACTTCAAAACTGCTACTGTATATGGCAAAAAGAATGTCTTGGGAATATTATTACAAAGCACACCTGTGTCTAAAAGTGCAGTCACTTTAACAGAAGAACAAAGCCAACAATATGTTTTATTCCATGTCTAACAGGAACTTTAGAGTGCAAATCTAAAATCTGCACTGCACACACTCCTCTCTTTTTGGACTGTTATATAGTTGTATTTTTCGACCTCTTTGGCCTTTATTAGACAGGACAGCTGAAGAGAGAGAGGAAATGTGGGGAGAAGAGAGTGTGGCATGACGTGCAGCAAAGGGCCGAGTCTGATTTAAACCCACAGCCGCTGTGACGGGGACGATAGCCTCTGCACACGGGACGTGCAACCTCTTTTTTTTCTCCTTTTAAAGCTCCTGTGAGGAGTTTTTGGCTGGTAGTTACACTGCCTGAAATGAATATTGATGCCTCTTCATGAGCTACAAAAGCACACAAACCATCATCAGTTATTTATTTCCATATAGTTATTGAATGTTTTTCAGTGTTGCTGCAGAGTGTGCTTTCTCCAACTACTCATTGGTAATATTTGCAGTGAAGAATGTAAAAAGAAGGCTGTTCCTTCAGGGTGCAGAATATTGTTTCGTCTAGCACTTACGCCTGGCAGCAGTTACAGAATCAATAGTCCTACAGATGGTCTCCCTTTTGTAACTCATAAAGAAGTTTAAAAATTCCTCCCAGGGGAGTAAGTTATCGTTTTTTACTTTAAATGTCTCCCCAGCTTCATAAATCCACTTACCGCCTTGCCATCTTTGCCAAACAGCACAAGGCCTGTCTTGGTGACGATGCCGGGTCGGCTGGCTCCGGGGATCTCCAGCGGCTGACCGTTAGCCGCTGTGCCGTTATCCACCAGACTGGAGCCATAGAAAGTGACTTTCTAAAGGAGGAGCAACACAAAACGAAATCACATCTGTTAAGACGATTTTAAGAAGAACTCAACACATATCATTGTTGTTGGAAGTAAATCCTCTCTTAAAGTTCTTTTTCTCTTGAAAAAAATCACCGTGAGCTACTGGCTGCTTCTGCAGTGAACCTGGAAACCTCCAACAATCAGGAATCAGGTATTTCTCTGTACTCATGACTGACTGATTAACAACCTTTTCTTCAACAGTCGAAAACCTAAACTGCTTTGCTTCATGAGGTCAGTCTTTTAGTCTTTTACAGAGTGTGTAAGGATCATGAGTTGCTGTGAGCTACCTGTCCGTCAACCTCTGCCCAGGCACCAGGGATCTTATCGTTTCCTCGGATCCAGTTGTGGATATCCTCAGCGGACTGGTCCCAGTCGATCTGCGCACAGACAGAACAATCTGTTGCCATTATGTCTTCAGATGCAATACACGGACATTGTAGCACTTACTGTAAATATTTAATTTAAAATTCTGAGTTCAGGCTGTTCAAGAGAACCGAAAAATGTTGTTAAAGTAAGGATGTGCAACTTTTTGATCCAGTAGATGTCGCCCTTCGATTGTGTCCTGCATTGTTGTGTTAGCGGGCTAATGTTAGCACACTTCAGTTAGCTCGTAGCTTCACATTTCATATAAATTGATACGGAACGGGTGAGATCTAAAAACGATTACGTGACATCAGAATAATCAGTGAGTATGATATTCTTCTTTTCTCTAATCCTTTACTAAAACAGCTTTATACACAAGGACAGGAGTCAGCCGTCCCGTCCATGTAAACATGATGTAAACACGGCTCTGACAACAACACAGCTGACGGGACTCAAGCTTCTCCCTCATTGTAGACAGTCATGACTCAGAGAGATATTTACACAGGATAGACTTGATTTTTTTCTGCTCTATTTATGTGTAAAATATCACACATCATGCCTTTAAGGAAAATGACGATCCCCTTATCTTACCTTAGCGTTGTCTTTCTTCTGGATGCACTCATATGTGGCGCCCTCCTGTGGCTGTATAATCCTCGGGGCCTTCGACGCTGCGATCAGCCTCACTGCATCCACCTGAGAGCAAAGCGATGCAGTTTGAGCGTGACATCTTTAATCATAAACTGTCACTTTTCTCTACCTAATACAGGCACACAAAAAAAATACAACAGGACTAACAGTAGGATGACGATATGACCTCAAAAACAACAACAGACAAATAAAAAAAGACAAAATTAAGAACAAATAAACTTTATACAGTAGTATCCCCTCAGATATTGCATAATTTATAAAAAGTTGTATGTAAATTATTTTACAGAGTGCATCTAAGATTTTAAAAGAATCTCAAAACTCACTTTGTCACTCAAGCCGATTTCTTTCCACTGTATACTATTGTTTGATACTTTATGAGTTTGTGGTAATTACTCTTATCAAAGAGGACATGATTTTGCAACGTCACAGTCTTTGTTATGATGGAAAGCTTGAGAGGAGAGCTGACTGCAGGCGACGAGAAAAGAGAGAGAGAAAGAGAGCGAGGGGGTCCTTCACATGATGCATTCATTGAATTCCTTGTTTGCTTTTCTTCACTTACATCAGACCTTTCATTCATAGTCGTTTTCTGAAGGTAATCCGTAATCTATGCACACAATCGATAGACTTGAGTCTAAATATTTGCCGTGTGTGCAAGTTGAACTTCACCCTCTGTGGCAAAACAAAAGCCGGTTAAAGTTTAACAACGGTCTGTTAAGAGTAACCATTTTGTAACCCACAAACATGCCATGCTGCGGCGTGGTGGACAGAAGTTCAGCTCCTCCAATGAAAGGGATCGAGACCAAGACAAGACCAAGACATTTAGGGATCGAGACCAAGTCAAGACCAAGACATTTAGGGATCGAGACCAAGACAAGACCAAGACATTTAGGGATCGAGACCAAGACAAGACCAAGACATTTAGGGATCGAGACCAAGACAAGACCAAGACATTTAGGGGTCGAGACCAAGTCAAGACCAAGACATTTAGGGATCGAGACCAAGTCAAGACCAAGACCAGGGCAGAGTGAGATCAAGACAAGATCAAGACCTTAAACATCACTGAGAAATCATCATTCTGTGCAGCAAGTGTGTCACTCATTAACAGCGGAAAATGGTGGCCATAACCGGGGGAATAAAAATCGAATTCTAAATGAATTGAAGACCTTTAGACCAAGACGGATCTCGAGTACTTTAAGAGTCCGTGGCTGAAATGATTAACAGGCTATAACTTCCCTTCCTGGCAGGATTCTGTCGTTTGTAAATTTGTTTTCGGGACTGATCGAGTTTTCCGACACTTGTAAATTCATCCCAGTGCTCGTAAAAGTGTTGGTTTTGCACTTCCTTGCCGCCATACTTTTTTCTCTTTTTAGCTTCACCCGCCACCGTCCTCTTCCGCCTCTTAGCCTCAGTCAGTACAGAGACGGGCTAGAGGCGTCTTCTAAGCTGAAGGCTGCTGTGTGAACTAGTGACAAAAAGCTGTACGCACTTCACCCGCTGTCGAAGTTACATAGTGCTGAAAACAGTGAACGGGGTGCAATTTGGACATGGCCATTCCCCTTCTGTTTAACTGATTGTACTAGAGGATCGACTTTGAAACTGCGATTTTAAGGTAGAAAAGATACATATTGTTGCTTAAACGTCATTGTTTGCAGGCAGTATGTGCTTTGTGTGTTGACACTTACTTTTCTAAAATTCAAATGATTTCCCCGCCGCTTTTATTGAAGGGAAGGGAGAAATCAAATACAGATATATCAGATGGACTGAGAGCTTTAGCCCGAAAGAGTCTGCCTGATGCTCGGCCTCAAACAGTGACAAAGACATGCCATGTGCATTTTAAAATAAAGGCCTACAGTTCCTTAAGGATGGAATGGAGCAATCTTTTTGCATCAATTTCAGACATTTCCTTCCATATTGATACTTAGTCACACCCCTCGTATCTATACGCAAACATGGAGTTGACTTGGATTTAGAAAGGGAATGTACCAAATGGCGGAAGTGACCCTGAAGTGATTGAGTGAGCAGCCAATTAGTTTGTTTTTTATGGGAAAGACGTTGCGAAATGTGTCATACAGAGTTTATGGTGATGTTTCGTCCGTTTTGTGGAACCCAACCACGTACAGTCTTTACATCAAAACAAATCAGCAAACAGCATTGTTTAGTGAAGATAATATCCTACATAGATCATATCTTGGTGAGTCTAAATGAGTACCGATGATCTGTGAAAGCTGAGTGCAATCACAATATGTCATCTTAAATACAAACTAACACTACATTTATAAAAGTATAGGGAACTTCTTTCAAAAGTTTTTCTGCATGCCATACGTCTTCCTGCTTTCTCTTTTAGAAACAAACTCTACAAACACAACCTAAAGTTCTCCTCCTTCCCTATATCAGTGCACTTACCATGCCTTTGACCCCCTCTGGGAAGAGAAACCTCTTGTAGATGGTGTTGACGGTGTCATTGGGCTCGACGTCACACTCTCTCTGCAGGAGGATCGGCCCGGTGTCCAGTCCGTCATCGGCCCAGAACACAGTGAACCCGCCCTTCTTGTCGCCGTGGATCAGGGTCCTGTGTGTGTGTCAGCAGACAGCAACAGGTAAGAGACTGAGCTCTGCCCACATGTCTGAACTCGCCTCATGATCGTCACTCACCAGTTGATGGCGGAGGCTCCCCTGTGGCGAGGCAGCAGCGACGGGTGGTAGATGATGGAGCCGTGTTTGGGGTGATCGATGACGTCCATGGGGATGAACTGGGAGCAGAAGGGCAGGACGTTGAGCTCGGCACCGGTGGCTTGGTACTCAGAGACCACCTCCGGGATGGGCTTGCCCTTCAAGCGCCAGCGGGGGAACTTGAACACCGGGACGCCGTCCTTCTCGGCCTCGGTTGCTACAAGAATGTAAAAAAATCACACTCTTGAATTCCTAAATTGGTTTAAGTCGCACAAATACAAGGATCTAAAGAGAGGCCTATTATTTGTCAGCAATTCATGTTTCTGCCTTTTCTCTTAACACTAAGTCATCAGTTCTGGTGTAATAAAACTATGAAGTTGTTAGTTATGACCAGGGCCTGACGATATGGGATTTTTTGGGCTGATGCCGATTTTCGGCCACTGCTTTGATTTAAAGTTTGTCAGCCCTCGGGGGCCCGTTACTGTCCTGTGGCCGTAAGCGGTTGCCTGTTGACAAGCAGAGCCTCTGATTCTATTGAGGAGGTACAGAAGGATTTCAGAGCACCAATTTACAAGAATTAACAAAAAAGTTTGAGAAGCACAAATCTGAGCGCTCATTTGTTTGTTTAGCATTTGGAAATTTGGATTAAAGCATGTTTTATATATCAAAGGGAATGCTGGAAATGTTTAGTTCTAACCATAGACTGTAAATAATAATGGACGGAGCCTGAGTGACGTCACCCATTTGTTCCTGCAGGGGGCTTTGGAGGCTCATCAGCAGCAGAAATCGTGTCTCAGCCTTACTTTGAGTCAACCTAACGACAGGCTGAGAGCTGAGGTTTAAGCCTCTTTACACACCGTTACACCGCGTGCTCCAGTCAATCAGGTCAGCTACTTGCCTTATTGTGAATAATGTTTATCGTTCTTAAAATCAAAACCGATGAGTTATCAAAAAATGAATCCCCCCGTACAGTGTGTGCCAATTGAGGCATGAGCTATTCAGACCTATTTTGTTTTTTGAACCAGGCTGTAAACAAGTTTATTTCGACTGTATAAACTGGCTTTTTGAATGAGTGTGTATGTGACTTCTGGTTCTTCTGCAGCCAGCCTCAAGCGAACACTTGACGAAATGCAAGATTCAGCATCATCTTAATTTTTCATCCTAACCCTAACCCATCGATGGAGGCTGCATCTTGGTTCTGACTCACAGCCACACCCCCTTTTCCTGGTCTTTCAGTCATCTACATAAGGCAAAGTGGAAGCTTGGAGCTTCCAGTTCAGCACCAGTGCTCACCCAGTGGGTCAGCCTTGCCATCCTTGTCGGGGATGGTGAAGACTCCTACGATGGTGTGGCCGTCCTTCCTCAGCTCCTTGTAAACCTCCTGGCCAAACAGACTCTGACCAATCACAGCGATCTTCATCCTCGCACCTCAGTGTTTTCCTGGAGAAGACGCAGGGACAACCAGAAAACGTTTGGGAATGGTGTTATCACGATACCACATTTTTAAAGGTAGATATGATACTAGTAAAAAATCTAGTTTAATCAATAGTTGTGAATAGTTCTCTCTCTCTTTCACCTGCAGCAGCTTTTAGGTGAAGACTGAAGAGCTCCAGGATTTTTGATCTTTTGTATTCAAAGTTGTGGAGGAGCATCGTCGTACAAAATAAGAACAAACTGGACATGGTTCAGTCTGGCTGACCTCTCATCAGTCTGTCTAATATCAGTGCCTCCTTTAGGTCTTACCATGTTTTAACTCCTTGTGTAATCTGTTGTTTGTACGTAAACTTGTCTTTGTTTGTGTTTTCTTCTCATGTGTACGGGCTGCACAGTAATTGCCCCAAGAGGGATTGATCAAGTTGTTTGAATTGAATTGAATTTAAGGTTGTTAAACTACGCAGCAAGATAACAGGGAAGCATTTCTGAGCTGACAGACCGGTACACATTGAATTTAGCCATCAAGATTACAGCTGACCCTCTGCACCCCCCCCACTCCCCCCTTTGGTCAGAGTATGAAGTCTTGACTTCAGGGCGCAGGATGCCCAGGATGAGGACTAAAAGAGGCATTACATCCTTTGTACCACCAAGCATTCAGCTGCTTAATAAGCTCTGATTATACAGGATGAACTCAGCACTCTGCACTTTAGTTAACTTTAGTTACTGTGATGCTTTAGTGTGTTTTTATGTGCTGTCCTGTAAATGTTTGTTTGTTTAGTGTTTTATGCTTCTCGGTGCAAGGCTAATTCCCCGAACCGCAATAAAGGTTTTATTCAAGTTCCCAAAATGTTGATGACCTTAGTTTGACTTAAAGCTGTAAACTGAGTCCAGCATGAAAGACATTTTATACAGCAAGTTTAACGACACAATTTGGGTCATGTGCAATACATGTTGTGTTGTGTTGCATTCGTGCCTTACTTTTTATGTGTGGATGTGTTTTTCTATTCTTTTTATTTAATGATTCTAAAGGAAGCAGCTGAATGTTTGGCAGCAACATTGAGTCCAAGACAGATTTCCCCAAGCGGACATTTCTGTAAGGTTTTCTTTTGGTGCATTTTTTTTTTTTACATTCTAGCAAGTACTTTTTAAACCCTGATCAACAGAAATATCACTTTTAGTTCCAGCCTTTCACTGGCTGCAGGACGTTTAATGCTCTAAGGGGCCACCGGCATCAATCATGGCAACGACATCTGAGTATGCTCGGTAGAGTTCAGACACAAGTCACAACCCGACTGTGCATGCACGTGTTGAGAAATATCATGCTCAGTGGTTGGAGAGGTTACAGAAACTCTCTTCCACTTTATGCAAACATTTCAAAGCGTCACCACAGGGTCCAAAGATCACAGAGAGCAGCGGGGGCTCTCGACATGTAACTGCAGATTCTGTACGTTAACCAGGCAGAAGACACGCGTCGACTACTGTAGCATTCCTGCGCTGAAATGTACTCAAGAGTTCATACACTTTATGAAACTCTAACAGCACAAACTGAAATGTCATGTATTAATATTACATGTGGAGTGATATATATATATTTGTGCATGTGTTTGTCATTCTGCAGCTTCTCTGTCCTCTGTCTGTCTGTGTGTTTGGAACAGTCGTCCCAGCAACGTCTCCGACTTATACTAAACGCTGCAGCACGTCTGCTAACCGGGACAGAGGAGTCAGACATCAAATCAAACGTTAAGACTCTCTTCAGTGGCTTGTGTCTGCTTCAGGGCTGATTTTACTGATTGTTTCTGGAGGTTTTGAAATGGATTAGCACCCCTCCTATCTTGATGATAACTCTTGCACTATCACACTCCAGTTTGACCACTCAGGTCAACGAACCCCACTGCTCCTTGGAGGTCCCAAGATCCAAACTTCAAAAACAGAGGCGTTGCAGAACCCGAAATCAGTCTTGGTCTCAAGACCCGGTCCCGTCTCGGAATCAATATAATTTCTGCTTGGTCATGTCTCGGTCTCAGACTCCGGATTTTAAATCAAGACCATCACTGAAAAGCTATTTTTCCACATCATTACCATGACTGGAAGGAAAACGCCTCTTAATAAAAGAACAAATAACTTCAATTCAATAATAACTTCTTTTTTTTTATCCCCCGGTTACTGCGGCAACCTTCCTAGTGTTAGCTCTCTGGTCTCGGGTATGTCTTGGTCTAGGTTAATGTGATCTGGACTAAAACACTGCCTACAAGTTTTCTTACTCCCATGAGATCTGCTTTTTTTTTTTTAGTCACTCCTGACGACACATCTCTTCTCAATGGCCTTTAATTCTAGTTCACCGTGGTATTACATATCGTATATCGTACAGAACATGTGTTATAACTATTCTGTTCCTGCTTCTTAACCTCTGTTCTTTATTAAGTTTTATTCTCAGATTTGTTAAATTCTTGAGTTTCATTTTACTTGTTGTGTATGATCGTGGCTGTGGGTGCTCTTGTCCTTTACTGTTTCTCTTGGTTGCACAGCCCTGCAGTCCATGGGAGTTATTTTAACAGTGCTTTATAAATAACTCGACTTGACTTTCACCACTTGGATGAAAAACTCAAAGCTGCACAACCATCTGCGCAAAGTTATCCTAGAAAGTGCTCAGTAACCATGACTGTGTGTGTTTGATTGTAAGGCGGTGACCCCTGAACATGAAAGAGGCAGACTCTACTAGCCCCTGTCAACCAATCAAAACCCCTTATAGCTCGTACCTTCGGCGTTGACCAATGAGAAGCACGCAGCGGCTGAAAGGACTTGACAGCTCACTGAAGCGACAACGTTCAGACTTTGCAGTTACAGATCTCAAGTTTGTGCACAAAAAAAAAACATTCTTGTAATCATCACACATTATCCACATCTTTCTTTTTTTGTGCAGCCTTGAGTTGAGTTATGTCACCGTCCTCTACAGCTGCTGCAAACAACTCAAAACAGCTCCTAAAATAACTTTTTGTTTGCAAAGCGGTAAATAAGACACCTGTACCATTGCCTGTTTATATTAATGCACTTTTAAGAGTTATTATTCGTGCATTAAAACAATAGCAGATAGGAGTGAAGTTAGTGTTCTTACCCCCGCCTGCAGATCCAAAGCTTCTCCGCTTGCCTCGAAAGAGAGATCAGACAGAGACCGTTGCTTTTAATTTCCTTCCAGCAGTCACACAAGCAGCTCCCCCAATTACATAACATGCAAATAAAGCCGAGTGATTGGAGCCGTGCGGCTGCAGGAGGGGGCCGACCAATCAGCTGCTCCAAGCTTTCAATGAGTCCATCCACCCGGAATGTCAGCCATGAGAAAACACTCCAACTTTACAATACAAGACCGGAAGTAATCGTTCTTTATTTTTATACATTTTCCTGGCTTAATTAGTAAAGATAAAGAATTCTTTCAGTATAAATATTTGTCCATGAATCTTTAATAAGCCTCATTAATTATATCTATTATTAGCTTCTGGATGTCAGGACTCATCATTTTGGACCAGAGACATCCAAGATTTATAAAGATATGAAAATCCAAACGTTAAAAAAGCACCTTTCATTCTTAAAAATATTATATAGGATTATTTTACAATATATGTATTGCATTATTTTATATTAATTTTGTAATAATTATACAAATAATAATTAGAAACAGTGGAAAGTATAATTCATTAAGCTATGACATGTCTGAAAAGAGGAGGAAGTAAACACTTATTGAATCCCTCCCCCTCTCCATCTATTCAGATAGCTTGTAGTATATTTGTAAATTAAGATTATAATATAATATAATATTAATATTATTTTTTATAGTTTATATAGGCCTATGTATCTTTTAAATATCAAGTTATAAATAAATAAATATATAAATGACCTACAGATTCTAAATAATACAAAAACAAAAACAACAGAAACTAAAGAAAAAGAAAAAGAAAACATGTACAAGAATTTAGTTGAGAAAACAAAAGGGTCAGTTGGGAGAGTGAATGAGGTACTTTGACTTTTCTTTCTTTTGTTGTGGATTTGTGTTCTACATATTTTTAAAAAGAGCTATGGCTTTGTCTATTGTTTTATATTTTTGAAATAAAGACATCAATCTACAATCCATCAGTGAAAGATATTTTCATTGAATCATTCCTATGGCATTACAGATAGTCCATGAGTCTTTTCCATGAAGCCTTACTTACAACAACTATCATTTCTGTTTTGTTTTTTTAATGAAATTTCAAAAAGTCAGTCAACAATTTAGTCAGAGAATGAAAACACACTGGTAGTTGGTGTAAGTCAGGAACAGTTCATGGTCCTGACTCAGACCTGATTCATATGGAGAACAATCCTTTAATGGAACATCTCTTTGATCGTGTTTTTTCTTTGTCTTAATTTCTCTTTAAAGCGAGGAAAGGAGGAGACAAGTTACTTAAAACAGATAAATGTCTCAGACTCCATTTTTTA